GGCTGAAGCTGGCTAAGTTTGTGTTGTTCGCAAGGGATTGCGATTAGCAGTGTATGAGTAGTCAAATTACCAATTCATGGTGAGGGTTGTTCAACCCTCTTCCAATTCCGCGTGTCTCCTGTGCAAAGTGATCAATTGTTCCTGGTTTCGACATCATCGTCTTGTTGATACTCAGATGCTCGTTCTCCGTAGAAGTGACCGTTCTGCAGATACAAGCTGAACTTTGTCGTAATGGGTTCAGAAAAGCTGCGTACGAAGACTGGGAGGACAAGTCGTGCACAGATCGATGTTATAATGTCAATCATGATTATCAAAACTACGAAGAAATGGTCGAGCACGAGGTAGGCTCGTTCAAAGGTTCAGAAGAAGGGTAGTGAGTAGGAAAACCCAAGAAGAGACGAAGAAAATTATCGAACAATGCAAATGTGCGAACCCTAATATCCGCAATCCCGTTCCTCCTCCGACCCAAGGCCGCCCTGATTTTCCAGCAACTGCAAGTAAAGCCGCCTTTAGTAGCCCTAACCACCACCTATGATAACGCCAATGCCCGCAATGATTGTGCACAACAAAACCTCAAACCCCTTCCAAACATACTGAAAAGGCGCCTGCAGCTGGTATATATCTGCATTGCGAAGAAAAGCGACGGTGTTTGTTGCAAAAGCAGATTTACGCATTCTTTTTCGCCTTTGTCTTCCGCCTCGTCAGACCCTGTTGCCGTCTCGCGTTCTTGTCGCCTTCTGCGAGCCACTTGCTGGCTTTTACGAGCTGGATGACGTTGATGATTTGCTTGCCGAACATGACGGGGAAGGAGACGCAGGCGAGGATCCAGGGGACGGTTGAGTCCATTTTGTTGGCTCTGATGGAAATTGCATGTCAGCGTGAAAAATCTTCGGGCAGAGCGGAGTGAGTCGGATGTGGTGCAACTTACCGTGCGTATTCCATAGCGCCTGCGGACCAGGGGCTCGTGAATAGCATCGATGGCTTCGGCGCTGCCGGCGTACCGGGAGTAAGTGAGGTAGGGCTATCGGGGCTCTTGAGGAGGGTGGGCGAGAGCAGCGGCGAGGAGAAGGAGAGGAGGTAGAGAGCGATGAAGAAAAGCTGTGAGTTTGTCAGCCTCTGAACGCACATATCAACAAGTATTCGAATCCTCTTACCTCATTCATAGCGCAGAAAGTAAACAGCACCGCATTATTCGAATAGTACTGCTTCAGCACCCAACTCCGACTCTCATCTACCTTCTTGTGACTCTGTCCGCTTCCTCCCATACTCAGCGTTGCATACATGTGCATGTAATGGCTGGCCAGATCCAAGCTGATCAGGCCCTGAAACACAATGCTCCAGCGCGGGAACGCGGATGCCAGGAACACGAGCAAGCATGCCGTTGTGCAGCGGTCCGTCACCATGTCTAGCACCGCTCCGAATTTCGTGGATTGCTGGAAGTGGCGCGCTGCGAGGCCGTCAAGCGCGTCTAGCAGACAGGATATCGAGTATAGCAGGCTGCAGGTGCGTGGGTGGAGAGGCATGTAGTAGAGGGATGCGACGGCGAGGACGACTCGGCAGTAGCCTGGGAGACATGTTAGGTCCGAGGCTTTGAGGTCGATCAGGGAGCTCGTCACCGATCAGATTTGGGTAGAACAGGAAGATGTTCTCCTCTTCTTCATCTTCGATATGTGCTGGATTCGGCCTCGAGATGCTCCCGTTTCCGTTGGGCAGGGGCCGTGATGCGGCCATATTGGAAGGTGGAGCGAGCGGAGAGGTAAGTGTTCGAATCGTGATACGCGCTCGTCGACGGTGTGTTCTGGGGAAAGCGGAAAGGCAGCTGTGAAAAGGAGGGCCGGTGGGCAGACTGTTAGTTGCTTGGTCTTATCGAGGAGCGGTTGAAACTTTGGCCCGCGCTCCGCAACTCCCGGGCTAGAAGCGGGCTAGGCCGCATGAGGAAATGAACGTTCAGGCTTGGCGCGTCAGACTACTCCGACAGGACATCATCTGTACGTCAAGGAGACGGTTCCAGTGAATTGCAGGTAAGCTGACTAGCTGGGCATGTTGCTGGTCATCTATCTACGCCCACCCTTTGGCTTACCCTTCGGCTTGCCAGCCGATTTTCCTTTCGCCTTCTCCTTCTTACCACCCTTTTCCAACTTCATACCCCTTTCATTCTTCCCCTTTTTCCATACTTTGCCCTCGGTACGGGTATCCTTAAGTTCCAACTTCTTCTTGTCTTTTCCGCTCAGCTTCTTCTTGTCCTTACTTTTGCCTTCAAGCGGTCCGTTCAGAGCAGCAGCCCCCTTCTCCTTGGCCGCAAGTTTCTCCTTTTCTGATTCGAACCATGTCCGCTTTGGCCTGGACTTGATCTCGTCCTCGTGTCGAATGAGGTTCTCGCCGCGCTTCAGATCGCGCTCCGTGATGCTCAATATCCTCTCTTCTTTCTCTTCCTTCAACACCTCCTCAATCTCGTCTTCAAGGCCCCTGACCTTCTTGACCCACTTGTCAGCCTCTTCAGCAGGCACTTGTCGGCTGACGACCTTGGCTCCTTGGGCTCGGGCAGCTTTTACGGCTTGTTTTACCACCTTGCGATCGGGTTCCGCGGCGAGGGTGCACGAGCGACCTGTGCGGCCAGCACGAGCTGTACGGCCGACACGATGCAGGTAGATCTCGTGGCTCTGGGGGGCTTCGTAGTTGATAACGGTGGACACGTTCTTGATATCAAGACCACGGGAGGCGACGTCGGTAGCCAAGAGGTACGAGGATGTTCCGTCACGGAATGCCTCAACACTTTGGATACGCTGTACAATATCAGTATTCCTTCTATTTGATACGTAGAACTTACCTGTTCCTGGGTCATGTTGCCATGAAGTTCACTTGCTTTCAGACCGCAAAGAGCGAACACGACCCTGACCCGATGCGCTTCCTTCTTTTGCCGGAAGAAGATAATGACCCTTTCGGTGTACACCTCTGAGCACAAGTACATGAGATATGCAAGTCTCCGTTCCTCTTTGCCAGTCCTCAGACGGACAAACTCTTGAACAAGGCCTGCTGCACTCTGCTTCTTCGAGTCGACCATAAGACGTACTGGCCGGTTCATACCTACTCGGATAAGGTTGTCGACCGAACTCGTCATGGTAGCAGAGAAAAGCATAGTCTGGCGAGATTTCGGAATCGTAGTAAGGATTTCGCTCAGCTGGCTCTCGAACCCTTCCTCAAGCATGCGATCGGCTTCGTCGAGAACCAGAATCTCCATGTTCTCAACGTGAAACGCTGCAGAGTTGCGCATATGATCAATAAATCGACCAGGAGTGGCAATGACAACATCAGGACGGGTCTTCAGAACAGCCTCCTGCTCTCGGGAAGAGAAACCACCCGCCAGAAGCGCGAATGTGATATCGGTGAATGCGGCGAGCTTCTTTGCGACGTTGAAACACTGCACGGCCAACTCACGGGTTGGCATCAGGATCGTAACGCGCGTCGTGGGGATCTTCTTCGGCCGATACAGGAGACGCTCAAGAATGGGGATAAGGAAGGCAGCCGTTTTACCTGAACCGGTAACAGCCCCGCCGACCACATCTTTACCAGACATGGCGATCGGGATAGTCTTTTGCTGAATAGGGGTAGGTTCCGTGAAGCCAACGGAGGCCAAACCACGAAGAATAGGCCTCGAGAGCGACATGGACTGGAAAGACCCTGTAGATTTCGCGCCCTTCTTCTTCTTGCCCGTGACCTCCTCTTCAGGTGCGAAGAAGGCGGCAGCTTTTTCCGCCTCAACAGCATCCTCCTTGTCACTCTCCTCACCAGAATCTGCGGGCTCAAGGTCCATGGGGTGGGGTACATGTGCGACAACCTCGTCATCAGAGTCCTCATCTTCATCCGACCCGCCCTTGTCGCCCTCAGATTCTACGCCTTCCTCCGAATTTTGTGCTTCCTCTTCCTCGTCTTCTTCGGAGTCACTGGCTCCCATACCAAATCCGTCATCGGCCAATAGCTCATCATCATCGCCAAAGCCCTCAAAATCAGGTTCGTCCTCAGATTCTTCCTTCTCCGGCTTTTCCGGGGTCGATTCCTTATTCTGCTTCTTCCTCCGCCGTTCGATAATCTCATCAACATCCACCGCTGTGCTCTTCCTCTCAGAGCTATTTTGTTGTACTGTCGCACCCTTGTCCATACCCCAGCCGTCGAAATCCTCTACGAAATCGGTATCGACGTCTCCAGCCTGGAATTCGAAGTCGGAGTCCAGATCGTCAACATCCTCCATTTCCGCATGCGCTGCCTCTTCATCCTCCTCTTTCTCCGGCTCTGCGGCTTTCTGCGCGCTCTTTTTGTCTTTCTTGTATTTCTTTGCCTTCTTCTGCTTTGGCTTCGGGTCCACCTCAGGTTCCTCCGAGAACTTCCTCTTCTTGCCTTGCCCGGCTAGTTTCGAGGCTTCGGCGGGAAGGTCGTCAAGCCCGCCGTCGTCGGAGACATCGTCGTGGTCTGATATGGTGAATACGAAGTCGTCGTCAGCTTTCGGCGCCATTTTGGAAGATATTTGGTCTAGTCAACGTGTGCAGAACCGCAGGTTGTCGACCGTTGCTGTGAGGAAAAAAGTTCATGGGACGTGCATGGCTTGGCGGAGGTTTCCACATCCGGCTAGGCTCATGCACACCTCCGTCCGCTTCCCCGCCTTTAAATCCACCAGGGCTGCACTTCTGATCTGATGCAGGTCGTTGCAAAAACTGAAGATAAACCTTGGAAGACAGGGGCGGTGAGTTTCGAGACAAAGGCCTAGAGCTGGTGACAGGGTCGAAGCTGTCTTCATTCGGATTGTATTAAACGCTGGTGAACTACAACCATGCTTCTTTAACTTGAAAGTGACTGTATGTATGTAGGGTTCGTTGAAGGCAAACAAAATAGTAGACACCGACACTAGAACTTAACTCGTTCTTCATGGAGTCATCAAAAGAGAAACATCACCTACCTACCCTAAGGATAACAGAAGGTGTGGAGAATTGCCAAAAAGAAAGGATGGTTGCATCATCCGGGAGTCGAACCCGAGCCATTTGCTCGCCCTACTTGAAGTAGATGGAAGGCAAATATCCTACCGCTGGACCAATGATGCGGTGTGATTGTTAAGATATTGATTTTTCTAAATATATAATCCTAAGACGTGCACCTGAGCCATTGACGCTGTATATATAGCCTACAAGGAAACAGCTGGACAAGATACAATATGGTGGTCGTGTCATACGCTCAACAACAGTATGTTTACATTCTGTAACACGCTTCCTCTTGAGTTGGGGTTCCTTCTTCCTGCCGGCATCGACTGGACCCTTAGGAGGTTACGGGCGGTTCCTCGCCCAGCTCAGTACAAAAGACCTCCATGTTGACTTTAAGTGCCTGACTAGTCCGTGAGGCATTCGCAGATGATCCCACTATCCAATTTTTACATAGTCTCCATCTCGTCGGATGTTGTCCTTCAGGCATGGGGTCTCCCTTGCTGAACTGTATCCCCAGTGGGTTGAGGTCTCGGACAGGATCAAAGGGGCGCCGTCCCTCATTCTCTTTGGTCTCAACGGAGGCTTGATTTGCTAGATATAGTCAGAGCTGTTCAGCACTCACGAAAGCACATACCAGCTTCACGCAGGGCATCACGCATGGTTATCACCATGCGCCAGTCGAGGATGTCCTCACTTATGCTTGGTATTTGCTCGCTCGCAAGGAGAATTTGAAGCCGTTCGCAACACTCCGTCGGAAGTGGTGCTGGCATATTGGCCCACGTACGGCCTGGGCAAATCTTATTGATTTCCCTGGCTTCTTCTCGAGTCAATCTCTACGCATACCGTCGTTGGGAGAAGTCAAGTCTCATGATCTAGTGGTGTATACTTAGAAGCTTGCCCACTGATAGTTCGAGAGTCCGGCCGCAGCGCGCCCCTCCGCAGCTGAGGCACTCCTACGTACACGCATGCTTGCTGGCGTGATGGGAGACATCGTATGAAAATGATAACGATATGATCTGGGGGTAATGGAGGACAAGCGAGGTGGGGGCAGCGCCATGATTTGAGGCAAGGCTGCCAGGTCATTATGCATGCATACGCATTCGTCCGTTAGGCAGCTGCGTCCCATGCAGAACGTCTTTCCAAGGGGTCCGCCGGACCAATGATGATTGGTACATATTATTGTGAGGGACTCTCAATGTCACCTCGGAAGACTCATCTGTGCATAGGATTTATTCTCACAGCCGTATAGATTTCCTGATATCCGGGTCGCATTCGAGGTCAAACTGGGCCACGTGAAGCAGACAAGACGGATGGTATGATCGGTGGGCACTTTCATTGCAATGAACCATGTTCTGCTGCTAAAGTACCCGACTTGGAGTGCCAATCGCACGTTCATGTTCCAGATGCTAATGCATTATCAGAGATAGAAGGACGCTGTCAAATAGGCATTCATTTAATTTCTTATTATATACACACGCTTCCACAGGTGCGGACTGCGGCGCCGGGGGATGCGTCATTTGTAAGCCCAAAAAGTTAAAAAAAGCCTCCTGCGATCGATCTGAGCTATAACCGTACACAGACGGTTCGGGCACGCCTTAATACGCCGACGTGGAGCGTTGAACACCGATAGACGCCAATTGCGGGAAGGGGCCACCTGAGCACAAAGGAGATGCTTCACCTGAGCCCGGACTGTTACTAACAACTGGGTACAGAATAGAAGTCAACGCGGAAGACGAGCCCGCGTGGTTGTGTTGCACTGTGTCTTTTGGCAAGATCTGAATTTTGTTGTTAAGGCCACCAAGGTGAAATGACACATACCTACCGCATCGATTTGGGGCACGAACGTCAAAGCATCCAAATGCGGGCTCGTTTTCAGGGCGGAATGTCGATGGTGGTGATCTGCTTGTGACCGGGTTGGAGTTGTGGCTAGCAGCAGAAGTCGGCACCTTGGGGAAGCGGTGTCGTCTCCAACCAGCAGTCGACTCGAGCTGCATTGAGCTGCTGTTGCGAGGCATTAGGTCTTATGCCGCGGCTGCTCCATTCGTCCGAGTCTTCTCCGATGCTCGTTTCTTCGTGGTTGATTGTTGGCTGTCCTATATTAGCAGGGTCGTCAGCAGCAGGTCATGAGTGGCGCTACAGGCGCTGATAATGCTATTTCTTGCAGGTATGTGTGTTACGCACGTCCAGTCCTGTCTCTGCAAAGCTACGTTTCGCTTTCTTTTTCTTTTCCTTTACGGGTTTCGCGGGCTTCTCTTCGCCCGCCTGGAATACGTCGTCGGGGAGTTGGTAGCTATTGGGTCAGCAAACTTCCAACAGCTGGACAAGACAACCTGCTTACTTGCGTGTGTGTACGACTCGCACAGACATTTGGACCTCGTCATATTCGGTGGCCATGGTGACGTATCGCTTGAATTCGGAAACTGGAAAGGAGATGTCGAGGGATCTCGCTCCGCCTGCAGGTTGTCAGTGACTAGTCCCTCGAAACGAGAAGTGCTTGCCTTACCCTCTGGGAGAGTCAAACCGATATAGAAGGTCGTCGTATATATCGTGTGGTAATCACCACCATCGCCGTTGGATGCACCGTTCTCCAACTGGTCCTTCACTTGATATTCCAAATTGCCTTGCACGACCCTATCAATCTCATCCTCGTTCCGGCAGCGATGTACGCGCTCAAACCCTTTAGTGAAGGCCCGCGCTCTGTCGACTCCGGCATCGCCGTCCTCGATACCTTTCACCAGCAAACGCACTTTTGACTGCACCAGCCCAGAGAAGGTACCATGTGCCTCCTTGTTACGAGATGCGGCAACAACGCTGAGGTAGTATTTGTGGTCTTTAGTAAAGAAGGTATGTCCGTCGAACAAGTCCATCCACGACTTCCGCCCAGCATGTATTTGGTTGACAAGGTTGTCGGCACGCTGAAACTCTTCCAACAGAACGCCCTTCGTCGAGTGCATGATTGTATGAGTCGAGCACATAGCAGGGAAAGCTGGCGTGATGACAGGCATCAGATGAGCCTTATCTTGGGGGTAAATCTTGCGTTGTGTCAGGTCTGATCGATATGTCAATTGAAACGTGCTTACCTGGGGGTTCCAGACGCGAAGGTTCAGACTGCCTTCTTCGATGTGCTTCAGCATGACCGGGCGTGGCCAGTGCCACTTCAGCATGAGATTGAAGAACTTTGCAAGTATTGTTGCACCGCATGCAAAAGGATAGAGTTGACAGATGCGTGCAACCATGATAGCCCATGCCACACCACCAGGAAAGCCAAATACGGCACCATAGATCGCTCGTCCTACAACGGATTAGTATGTCAAGACGAAACCTTCGCAGAGATCTTACGGTTGGACCACAGCTTGACAGCTCGCAAAGCATGCCGGAAAGACTTCACCTGCGGCACGAGTGAGACCATTTCGGCAGTGACTCGAGTTCCGTTGACACTGCGCATAGATGTATCATCTAAGCCACGCAGTAATGACTTGTCGGAGATATCTTTCCACGAGCTGGGTATAGAAGAGAGAGAAGGCAAAGAAACAAATATCAAGTCTATGGGGACACCGCGATACTCCATCTTGATGATCGGCACATAGGCTTCTGGGACGGGATTGAACTCGGTGATATCCTTCGCATCGGACATCTCCTTGAACACCTCGGGGAATATATTGAAGAAATCGTGAATGTAGACGTGCTTGGGTGCTACAACCAGAGTATCGATGTCTGACGTGGGACCGTACACGCCCAGCGCATAGCTTCCAAAGGTGAAGATTTTCCCTCCGCCGTTGTCTACGGTAGACTGTGGTAGGTTCTTCGCCTTTCCGGCGCGACGGACGAACTCTTCAACGACGTTTTGGAGATGTTGCAAGACTTTCATCCTGCCGCAAGTCAGTCACAGTCGCTCAGTGCTTCTGGAGTGGCCCACCTGTTGTCTGTGCCCTCCGGAGTTTCGAAATTGTTTTCTGCCTTGAGCGCTTCCACAAGCAGGTCGTTTAGTTTGAGGTCGGCTTCAGTAGGCTGAGCTTCCGAGATGGGTTGGGTAACGCCCCATTGGCGTTTCTGCTGGGTATCCATGATGGGTGCAGCTTCGGTGAAGTGTGAAAGAGAGTGGATGTGGTTGCGGTAACCGACAGCGTCCGCGGAGGTCCTCGTCAGTGCTGGGTCAAAAACCGACAGTTCAGTATCGATTCATGGCCGCGCGTCCACCGATATGTAGGCGGTCCGCGGGTGTTGTGTTATGCGTTGTATGCTGTTCAACAGTATGGGCATCTGTCGGCTAGCATGCCAAGACGGGGCCTGCGCCACAAATCTGCATTGAGACTAGCTCCCTCGCGACTCGATTGACGCGTTGTCACGTTTTCATCCTTGACATGGAGCAACCTCAAGAGCTGTCTCTCCATTAGATCGCACGTTTAGGCCCTCCCGCTTGACAAGCACTGTGCCTGCAACTTTGGATTCTGACCCAGAACACCCCGAATGCCAGACCAGACTGAAAACATCAGAAGCTCCAGACTCACATCTTCAGCAAGAGCTATTACTTTCAGTTAAAAATGTCCGGAGGTTATCATCCAGCCACTTGACATCGTCGGGACTACCACCTGGACCTGATACATGCGTCAGCCGTGATCCCAATAGAACGCATTCTGAAAGCCTACCTGCAGCCCAGTGACCCCAGATACTTGGAAAGACTTTCAAACTTCCTACACCAGGCCTCATGCCGTCGATTTCAATCTGGCTGTCTTCCGGTGGAAAGTACAAATCCGTGTGGGATGGCATTACCAACGCTCGAGCCTTGATGGCGTGCATGGCTTCCTTGAAATCACCGTTGTACGGTTCTTGTTGAGAACAATCTCCGGTTTGCCAGGTGTGGGCCATGACGATCATATTTTCCGGATCTTTGGAGCAAGCCCACTTCTCCCAGAAGCCGACAAGGAAGCTGTCCAGACTCTTGAAACCAAGTACTGTCTCATACAATTTCTCGCGGTAGAATGCTTGACTGAAGCCCCACCCAGCATATACACGACCCAGGGCTTTGAGGGCGATCTCCTTTTTCTCCCCAAGGAACGGCGAATAGCCATCTTGTGCGGTCCTGATATCTGGCATTGCCACTCCACCAGACACGGTCCCCTTG